CCCCAAAACCCCAAAACCCCAAAACCCCTTAATAGGGATAGTTACTTGAAATTTTGCAAAATTTGTTTGTTTACTCAGGATACTTGGTCCATATATCTGAGGCGACTTGATTTCTAAAGATTACAGCCATAACATACCTCTCTGTAATTTCTTAGTATTTCTTATTATATCTATTTGGCCTGTTGTACATGTTCCTAATCGGGGCTACAAGGTTAGAAGGAACATACGAAGATGATAGGAGGAACTTTCTTCTTTTTCAGGATCCTTCTCAGTCTTTTTGACAGTTGATGTTGTGTTTTTGTCCTTTTTTCTCAGCTGATGTCTGGTCTCATTATGGACATGTCTTCTGGCTTGTGAGTTATCGTAAGATGGTTCTGGGTTAGGCTTATCTTTGTCTACCTTCTTATCATTCTTTCCCTTCTTCCTTGCTCTCCAAATACAAATCCCCACTACAACTCAGCAGCAAGTGCAACAGCAGCAGATTCAGACCACTACTACGATAACAATAATTTCTTCTCTACAAATGATTAAAACACTTACAATCTACCTCCATCTCCTGTCTGAAAATGGATAACTCCCTGTATGGAGTTCGTGTTGGCTGAAGTGTAAGGCTCGAAGACAATGTGGATGTCAGTGGAAGTATCAAAGGTCGCGCTCACTTCAGTGCCTACTGCCAATCGAGCTACGTACTTGTACTCATCCTTGCCTCTCGGCCCTGTGAATAGAGTTGCATTCATATTGGCCAATTTCACTATAGTGAAGGTTAAAGTAAGAAATTGAGAATGAATAAAATAGAGCCCTGATGAAAGCCAATTTGCGATGGCGGTTAAGGAGGTGATGGAGAGAAATTATGTGTATCCTTAGACGGTCTAAAGGGTTGAAGAAGGCTTAGAGATTAGATTGAGATTACTATTTTTCTACTTGTGTTTTAAAGTAGAAAGAAATGTAGTTGCAAATACAAAGATGAGCAATAACTTTATCTTTCTCAATGGTTACTCATATTTCAAGAAATCATGAACATTGTTCAAAGAGTAATCTCCAATTGAATGCTAGCATCTAAAACCTATTTCATATAAATGTTTTCTTCCAAACATAAAGAGCAACTAAAAGCTTTTCAGATCGGAAAGAATTTCTGTTCAATCTGTTTGTTTACAAATTTATTCATTGAAAATGAAAGCTACCGAAAATGCCCTACTCAGAAAATTATTAGGGCTTAACATTTCTAAAACTAACCTACTTCAAGCCATGGCAAGGAGACTATGCTCAAAATTCTTAACAATTCTGAAGTGCTTACCAGCCTTAACTTTGATATTTTTGATAGACCCATTGCTTGTGTAAAATCTATCAGAGCAGACAGAATTAGGGACCATCGAAGTTCTGTTTAGTGTCCATCTTGAACTATCATCATTTATTGATTCACTCTTCTCGCCTCAAACTAGGGCATTAGAAGGGCACAGTATAAGGCCTCCATTACTCTCAATATTACTTGAGTCAGAGCAAACAAAGCCACTATTGCTAGCACAATACCCAGTTGTGTCTCCAGTAATATGCTCTGTGCTAGTAGTAGTGCACCATTTTTGTGCGCTATTACTGATACAGGTTCTTCAATCAGAAGAGCTGGAGGATGGCGCTAAGTCTCTGTTGAGTCCTATGACTTCAGCATAGCAATAGACTGCAGTTATGAATAAGATAAATGCACGCAAAGCTAATTTTTTTATTATCATTTATTAAAATGACAATTCAGTTCCCTTTATAACTTCCGGGGTTTTGGGGTTTTGGGGTTTTGGGGTTTTGGGG